GGCAGCAATTCGCTGTGGGTTGAGAGCTTTCCAGGTGCCAGAATGCGTCCCGCATGCTTTGCTCGGGGCACCCCTGAAGGGCCTGAAGGGTCCCACCATTGGCACCACTTCAGTGGAGCGGTTCTTCGTATCTTGCGTAGCTTTGCCACAATTCGATGACCCGGGCAGGCCAATCATTTCATTGGAGTCAAAAAGAAGAAGTGACACAGTGGCAGCAATCACGCCTCTACAAGATATGATTCACACTTGCATCATTTAGAACACCTAGTGCCAAGAAGGACCCTAATGTTGCCTATAGCCTATGGCCTACAGCAATTAACAAGTCATGCCATGACCCAGGTTGTATGAGGCCGTTTTGTTCGTTTTTTTGTTAACATGTGTCTCATCTAGCTTCTCCTGAAGAATGAGACGCTGAAGCATGGAAGCTTCAAGTTCTGCTCTGGCCAAAGGACGTGGAGATTTCGCAGCCTTGGAGGGCTCCAATGGCCATGCCTTTCGTAGCATGGTGGGCGGAATGTGCAGGCAATATTTTCCATTTTGCTGTTGGTATTTAGGAGCGTTCTTCGACACTGCACCGACCAAGCTGTGTGTCAATGCTATTCCAGTGTCCGAGTTGTGTGTGTATACATGATTGAATTAACGATGAACTGATAAATCGTCTCAAACATCTTACTCGTATCATGATCATAGTTGGCCTTCCATTGCTTTCCAAACTCAGGAAAGGGAATTCATTGAGCCATTCTGCTTTGTTCCAAGGATGGTGGGGAAATCTATGCGAGCATTATGCTGAGCCAAACGGCACTGGCTGCACCCGTGTAAGTATCTTGCCAACGTATTTACTCAAGCAATGGCCTCCAACCTACTAGGGATGGCCTCCTGCCTGATAGCAAGCAAAAGTAAGACGTAAGAGGGACGTCGAAAAGATGTCGGAACAACTCTTGGGCCAAGCTGGTGACCTCGCAGGCTTAGACTTTCGCTTGATTCCTGGCCGTTTCTGGGCTGCAGCGGTTGCGTCCGGTGGCCTTCACGAGGCGAGTTGTTGCGTTTGTGCAAAACTTATCAATGATTTGAGTTTGAGTAGCTGTCTGAGCAGAGTGAAACCATAGGGAACCTGTAGGGTTCATCATTCTTTATGTTTGGACTCATGGAGGCTGAGACGAAGCGCAAGCACCATCATGGCGGCAGCATGTCCATCGGATCTTATTACACTTGGATTCGAACAGAGATGAAACAGGATTCCGCTGTCAGCACGGTCTAAGACTCCAAGGTGTTAGGATATTGATCTGAGATTGGGCTCACATAGCTTGGACATATGCTGCAAGCCGCCTCTCGTGATCTCGTACACCTTCAAGCATACGCCTTCAGCGAGCGGTTCTTTGAAGTGTGGATGCTGCAGATGGAACACGCATTCGGATTTGCAAAGACTTCCAAATTGAGAACGAGGGCCCCTTCAACGAGCTTGGGCCTGGGCACTTGCGCAGGATAAATGCGACTTGCGACCATATCCGACCTGTGAGAAACCACAGAGGACACGAATCCGAATCCAGAAAACCGGATCTCTGAAAAGCATTGAAAAGATTGGCGCCGAGTTTGGGGTAAACATATCAAAACCTAATGAAGACCGAACCTGTGAGGATTCTCCTGAGCTTGTTTTGGAATCATTGCTTGGTCCAGCTTGAAGCAGCTTGCTCACATGAAACAGTTCCGGAGAGGTCTGATTTGGCTTTTCTAGACCCACAATCCGACCTCCTGCCATTTTGTCATCCTTTTGCCTTTTCACTCAGCCAGTGCTGTGGCCCATGCCATCATGGAGCCTGAATCAGCTTGCCCCCCCGGAGCCATGGGAAGCTGTTCAGACAAGCAGTTCGTTGCAGAGCAGGTCCTCGAAAACTTCCTCCAGTTCGGTCTTGAGCTTTGAGTTGGAGCCAGTGGCCTGGTGGCGATGTCAGTTGTGGTGTCGCACATATTACCAGGTCGCACTCCACACATAGCTTGAGTCCGGCCACCCCCCCTGTAACTCTGCAAAAAGGTTTCTTTATTAAGACAACCAGCAAAATTTAGCACCAGGAAATCCTGGATAATTCATCATTACCTGGGGCCTCTCCAAATGGATTTTGAATATGCTAACCCCTCCCTCCTTCATGCTCAAAGCTCCACTCCTCTCCTGCCCCTCCTGCCCTTTCTTCCCCTTCTTCCCCTCCACTCTCTTCTCCTTTCCTCTCCTCTCCTCTCCTCCTCTCCTCCTCTCCTCTCCTCTGTTCTCCTTCCCTCCTCTGCCCTCTCCACCACCACCAGCACCAGCACCACAGCAGCCATCACCACCACCACCACCACCAGCACCCCCAGCACCAAACAGCAGCCCCCACCAGCCCCAGCAGCCGCCACCAGCAGCAGCAGCAGCAGCAGCGCCACCAGCACCACCACCAGCACCACCAGCACCAGCGCCAACAACCCAGCACCCAGCCCCAGCCAGCCCCAGCCAGCCCCAGCACCAGACCAACACCAGCCCCAGCCGCCACAGTCTACATGTTCATTGCTGGATTTGACAAATCTATATAAGTGAAATATTTTCATGTGACAATCTAGCACACCAATCACTAGAAGCAAGACCGGCCGCGGAACAGAAGTGGAGGTCACGATTCCAACCTCCTGTTGCTTGCAGGTTAGACAGAGGCCAAGACGAAACCAAATCTTCACAAAACCCTATAAACCCTAAACCCTAACAGCTGCTTGGCCGACGAAATAAGCCACCAGATTTGACGACATTTAGCGCCAGAAAAAGCACAAAAACAGGCACCAGATTTGACAAAATTTAGTACCAGAAAAAGCACAATTGGAAACACAAAAAAGAGCACCAGATTTGACGAAATTTAGCACCGGAAAAAGCACCAGGAAAGCGCCAGAAACTGCACAGGCGGCCACGACAAAGTCAAACGCTGCTGAGGCCAAGTGCTCCGAGCGATCTGCTTTTGGCTCGCAGGTTCATTTTGGACGCGCGAAATTTAGCACCAGATTTGACGAAATTTAGCACCAGAAAAAGCACAACTGGAAGCACAAAAAAGCACCAGACTTTACAAAATTTAGCACCAGAAAAAGCACAGCTGAAAGCGCAAAAAAGCACCAGATTTGACGAAATTTAGCACCAGCTTTGACGAAATTTAGCACCAGATTTGACGAAATTTAGCACCAGAAAAAGCACAACTGGAAACACAAAAAACAGCACCAGATTTGACGAAATTTAGCACCAGATTTGACGAAATTAAACACCAGATTTGACGAAATTTAGCACCAGAAAAAGCACAACTGGCAGCACAAAAAATAACACCAGATTTGACAAAATTTAGCACCAGATTTGACGAAATTTACCACCAGAAAAAGCACAACTGGATGCACAAAATTTAGCACCAGGTTTGACGAAATTTAGCACCAGATTTGACGAAACTTAGCACCAGATTTCACGAAATTTAGCACCAGCTTTGACGAAATTTAGCACCAGATTTGACGAAATTTAGCACCAGAAAAAGCACAACTGGAAGCACAAAAAATAGCACCAGATTTGACGAAATCTAGCACAAGAAAAAACACAAGGGAAAGGCTAGAAACGCAAGCGTTGCCAGGACCCAGCCGCCAGAGCCGTGCCCCGGTTCGGCGCCCCGGTCCCCAGGGCCCAGCCCCACGAAAGCCGTTACAGGGAAGGCCGAGCCCCGGTTCCGCGCGCCGGCTCGCAGGGTCCAGCCCCATGAAAGCAGTTAAAGGAAAAGCGGCCCGCCCAATTCCAGAGGACCCAGCCTCACGAAAGCATTTGAAGAACCCAGCCCCAATTCTCACAGGGCCCCCCACGAAAACATTTAAAAGGAAAAAAATGGGCCCACAGGAACCAGCCCCACGAAAGCATTTAAAGGCAAAGCGGCGTCCCAATTCCCACAGGACCCGGCTCACGAAAGCGCTCGCAGGAAAAGCAGCGCCCCCGTTTCCAATGGCCAGCCCCACAAAAGGATTTGAAAAGGAAAAGCAGTCGGCTTGCCCACAGGACCCAGCCCCACGAAAGCATTTAAAGGCAAAGCGGTGCCCCCGTTCCCACAGGACCCGGCCCCACGAAAGCATTTGCAGGGAATAGCGCCGCCCCGGATGCGCCCCAATTCCCACAGGACCCGGCGCCACGAAAGCATTTACAGGGAATAGCAGCACCCGGTTGCCCGGGCCGCCCCACGAAATCTTTTTAAAAGAAAAACCGTCGTATTGCCCACGCAACCCAGCCCCACGAAAGCATTTAAAGACAAAGCACGTCCCAATTCCCACAGGACCGAAACAACTACTACTATAGACTAACACCACTTGACCTATTTAATGCTACTTGAGGTATATCTTTTTTCACAACCTACTGATGTGTTGCTTGATGGAAGGGTTTTGTGTCTTCCCATGGCTTCACCAGGCAGGAGGGCCTATAGATGAGAGTGAAAAAAAGGAGTTCCTGTGGTGAGAGTGCCAATTGGATCTAAAGGTTTTTTAAAGCATTTTTTCTGGTGCTAATTTTTGTGCATCCAGTTGTGGTCTCTGTTACAGCGCCGCGGCCATGCACAACACATAGCTCTCACACACAGCCGATTCGACTTAGCGAAAACAATATGACCTTTGACGATGTCAGGGAAGATGGTAGGTACTAGTGGCTCTTGGGCGAGAACAATGGCAATATTTTATCATATTTAAAGTTCCCAGACTTCCCACGAAACCTGATCGGAAGTGAGGAGCTTCTGCGGGGTGTTCCTTTGGATGTGGCTTTGGCTGGTTGGTGCAAGCACTGGCAGAACGACCAGGTGGGGATGAGAACGGGCTTCAACATAGGAGCTTGCACAGAGAGATTTGGTGTAGTTATACAGATTATTCAAAAGAATCCGTGTTGTTTTCACCTGGAGGGTCAATGAAAGAATGTGATCTCCCATTTCCATCTATTTCCAAACCCAAATCAGCTTTGAAGAACGTCGAAGAACTCAATTTGGCAGGATGCTACAGGCCCCAGCGTGGATGAGGTCAGCCAGGAGGTAGATTCGATTGATGCATTCCTGAGTCACGTCAGCTGCCATTGCTCAAGAACTAGCTTCAAATTGTTCCCTTGTCAGTTCTAGATGAGATTCTATTATCCCAGCCTATAATCGTGTTTGGGTTTCCCCTTGAGTCTCCCGTTCTTGCTACACGTGGCCTGTTTACTCATTGTCCATTCGCTATGCCAAAGAATGCTTAGACAAGGGAACAAATGGGTTGTTGCTTCCGAGGACTGGCAAACGTCGCGATGGTTGAAGCTTGCGACATTGCTGATGGTCTTCAACTCAAGGGCTGCCACGGTGGTATCGTTGCTGACCAGCCTACTGGTGGGTGTGCTGCGGGTTTGTGACTATTTGCCAGACGAGCTTTGGACGACCTCCATACCCTGTCTGGCGTACCTCAGCAATCATTCCAGAGCAGACTGAATGTACCGGAAACGGAAAGAAACTCTAGCCAACTGTTCTTTATTTGATTTTATTTGTTTTCTTGTTTCAATCTACTCTACATAGTGGCTTTGCATGGTTTTGCAAGTTGCCTTGATATCCAAGTTCGGTTTGTCAGGGCAACTCTCAGGTATTTGGTGGTATTTTGCTTCTGGCAGCGGATGCGAAGTGTTTGCAGGCGGCCACTGATCGTCTTCCTCGACAGGCTTTGCATCCATCAGCAGGATCAGGAATTGAAGCAGAAAGGAATCCTCGGACTGGGGGCCTTTGTGGTTCGCTCTAAAAGGCTTGTCGCCTTATGGTCTCCGCGCTACTTCAGCAGACTTTGGTGAGACTTGCTTGGATTGGGAACTGTTGAGCTTTGGCCTTCACTACTACTAGTCTGTTGTAGGACCGCTCCAAAGACGGTGGCAATGACACCTTTGTTTAATGTACTCAAAGCCTTTGGCACGCCCATCTTGTCGAGTCTTTCCTGTTTTTTCATGAAGTGAGGCACCTATGAGATTGGATGCTTCTTGCGACGCATGGATCAAGCCAGGATCGAAATCCTGCCTGTGAAGACTGCCTACTTATTGCCTCCAGACTCGATTGGGTGCTGTCCCTTTATGTATCCATAGGCCTTGCAATGCTATATATAATTGGATTGGAGTCTTCATTCAATTCACAAAACATAACAAAATGATGAAGTTAGGACCTGCAGCATCATATTTTGCTGGTTCCAGCGACCTGCTTTCCGTGCTTGATTTTGCCTGGAGAAGCTGCAAGGATTTTGGTATCTATTCTTTGGCACACTTTGATGATATCCTTTTATCTATTCTCTGGATATGTTCGCGAAATCGAGCCAGATGAACGTGTGAATCAGTTGATATACACGAGCGCTGCCATGCCAGTTTTGGCATCTGTTCTGTTGCCAGTGGTGAACTATCTGGGGATGGGTGCCTTTCCTTGATTGGCTCTCCATGTTTCGCTGTTGTTTGCCATTTTTCGATGTTCGGGATTGTGTGGTCCACCGTGTGGATGGTGGTGGGACGTGCACCAGCCAAGGGATTATGCAAGACGTGGACCAACTTTCAAGGTGCGGCAAACATATGAACCGTTATGAACCACCAGAGTAGCTGCGTAGCGAGCTCCATGTCCAGCAGTTGCAATGGTCCTACCATGTCATACCAAATACTCTGCAAGCCAGGCAGCTGCAAAGCTTTCGAGTGAAGGACACAGATTGGCTGAAGCCTGTTGAAGCAGTAGATGTTCTTTTTCAAGAGCCCTGAAAGTGATTGAACCCACACGACAACTGACAGGATGCTCAATGCTATTGCTGCAGCAACAACCACCGAGACCCCCTGACCGGAGATGAACTCCTTTGCGACAGACAGCTGGTCTACGACACATTGGGAGTGATGTACTCCCGAGACTTGCGAGCGACTCCAGGCACATCATACAGTTGCAGTGGCCTCCAACCTAACAGCGATGGCCTTCAACCTAGAAATGATGGTCTCCAACCTAGAAGCAATGGCCTCCAACCTAATAGCAATTGCTGGTTTAGGGGAAGATGTAGGGTTGAACCATGTTGAACCCCTCTGTGTGGAGACCCAGTGTACCAAAGCTCGACACTGTAGACATTGATTCCGTTACTCTGAACTCCCCTGAGGCGACATGGAGGATTTGGCACTGGAGTACTTCGACTCATGTGTCCAGGGCGTGCTTGGTCAAAAGGTCGTTGGACGGCTTGGAGGTGATCTTCCGCTTCGGTGGTTCAGCTGCAATCGGTACCAGTTTTTGTGGGGCTAGGCAAGCTCAGCTGACTACGCTCATTCTCTTTTACAGCTTGGGTTTGGGCAATTCGCGTTCTTTTTGTCAACACCCAGGTATTTAATATGTGTTGTTGGTGTGAGCAACCTGCCATTTCTTTCGGAGCTCATTTCAAGACTGAAGAAGGGGCCATCAGTGCCACTGCTTGGGCTGGATTTTGCCATCTGGTTTGCAGTGCAGATTCTACACTGGGCTGCTTCTTTGCAATTTTACCTATGCAGTTCTTAGCGGCTTTTTTGTGTGTCAAGTTTCACCAGTGGCTATGGAGATCCTCCCCAGAATTGGATTCGGGACATTCGGGCTCTGATTTCGGGTATATGTTAGTACTTTTCGGTCCTTTCAAGCCCTCATCGCCCCTCATCGCCCCTCCACCTTGGCCGCTCCACCTCTGGCTTAATCGGCTTTCGGTGTTAGCAACCCCCCCCATCAAACAACTTTGTTTTATCCCACCATGTATTTTGCCGCTTGGGTTTGACATGCAGATGGCAGATCCTCCCCGGAATTGGATTCCAGATTCGCTTTTTTGGGATTCGGCCTTTGCACATCCAATTTTTGGGATTCAGTGTTCGGCTTTTGGTATTCATGTTCCCTCGGTTTGAAATTTTTGGGCCTTCGCCCGACCTCGTTGGTTTGGCTAGTTTGGTTTGCTTTGTTTGGCTTGGCTTTGGCTAGTTTAGGGTTGGGTTTTGGTTGGCTGCGTTGGTTTTGGCTTGTTCAGGGTTAGGTTTAGTTCGGCTCGCTTGGCTTCTGCTTGTTAGAGGTTTTGTGTGGCTGGCTTGGCGTTGGCTTGTTTGGGATTGATTAGGTTTCGTTTGGTTCCCATATTTGGCTTTCTCCTGTCTCCTCTTTGGTCATTGGGTTTTCGAGATTCATGTAGGATTGAGCAAAAATCATGTAGTTTTGTGCTGGGCCCCCAAATCGTAAAAAAATATATGCTTAATACGAACATTGCTAAGTGATGCTAAGTGCGTAATAAGCAGTTAGCCTGGCCATCGCTATTAGGTTGGAGGCCATCGCTATTAGATTGGAGGCCATCGCTATTAGATGCTATTAGATTGGAGGCCATCGCTATTAGGTTGGAGGCCATCGCTATTGGGTTGGAGGCCATC